CCCAAATAATGTGTTAATATTTATCTTTTAATAATAATTTTGAAGGTAACACTTTAAAAAATCTAGTAAACCGAAATAAACTACACATAAAAATAGTTCTAATTTAAAAACACCACATAAAAACACACACAAACAAAACACCTATAAAAACACACAAAACCATCCATATAAAATATAACTTTTAATTGAAAAACAATTCTGCTAAACTTGTTTGCGGCTCACCATTCAAACAATAGGTAACCAAGTTGAAACCAACAAATATACGTGACAAACAATATCCAAACGTTGGAAGTAAAATATTCCGAACAAGGCCCTCGCAACGATATTGTATGTAGTTTCCGAGCGAATCTATTTGTACAAAATAATCACATTAGTTGGGCAAACATTGGTGCACAAATATTGTAGCACTCCATTCGTTATTTGTTGATGAAAACGATTTGATGTTTGCTATTTTTTTTTATCTGTAAATGGGATTTCCATATTTTGTTCGGATTCGTTTTGTTTTCTCTTTACTTGGTTGAGAGGTGGCTACTGTACTCGTATGACCCCATTAGGATGAAAGAGACTTGAATACCTACACTGGACGCTGTGATGATTTTCGTCAAGAAACATTACCTGAATAACAAAACAAAAAAATGACGATTTCGAGTCGACAACTTACCGCAAAATTCGGATTATGGGTATTATTTCGTTTTATTAATTCATTTTAATGACAGACTGACAGACAAACCGCAGTCGCCATCTTGAGAAGACAATAAACGTTCCGTTTCATAGGTATCTACTAGTTCTCAAATACGCCTCGCCAATCAACACGTTGTCGCGTCAATAAAGTATAAATTAATAAGAAATATGAATAAATTCACGCGAACGAACTTGCGGGTAATAGCTAGTAGGTATATAATAGGGCAAGCTGTAAACTCTACGCTTGGCAGGTGCGTTGGTAATTGCAGTTTAAATGGTTCTGGTCTATTGCCGAGTACTCCTCCCTGGTCTCTTCTACTTTTTAACTGACTCCAAAAAAGGAGGTTCTCATTTTGATCTGTATGTATGTACCTATATTTGTGCGCGAGTAACTCGTGATTTACTGAACCGATTTTGATATGGTTTGAGAAAAGCGTTTGTTACACTTTTTTTAAGGGGGGAAAATCATCGAATGACTGCTCCCGCATGGGTGAGGCACATAGAACTGGATTAACCCGTTAGGTTCTCCGCGACTCCAAATCGGCATCGGCCCTGTTGGGCCCCGTCTGTGGTGGTCTGATGGCTCGTTGAGGCGCACGCGGAACGCGACGTGCCGTACGCTCGGGTCTGTTTTTGGTCGGACGGGGAGCCACCCATGAGATCTTCCTGCGATCCCCGACGTCCGGTGTGTCTTTCGCGATGGCTGGGTATTTTGTTACATTTAGGATGAGAATTTAGTATAGTATTTATTGACTTCAAAAATAGGGCGTTAATGTAGGTTTTAACAAACGTCGTTCATAAAAGAATTATTACTATTAGTAGAGTAATCAAAGTCAAAGGCACAGCATTTATTGCAAATGATCTATAATTAGGTAATTTCGTAACGTTCTTTGAATTGTCCGTCAGTCAGTCTGTTTGTCAGTAAAACTAGATATTCATTCCAAACATTCGTTTCGAATAGAAAAGAATGAACAAGAAACTCCATCGCGCAACTCAATCGCTGGTGTACGACGTCTGTAAAGTCACAATACTTTTCACTGCTACAAATTGATTAGAATAGGGTAGATAACTAATTTTTTTTAATGCCCGTCTGGTAGATTTTTTAAAAACATTTTACATGTATTTTTTATTTTCTTAAGGAAACGAATAGTTTCGAAGATATTATTTACTAGTTACTAGTTAGATTTTTAATTTTCATACCCTCTCATCGTCTCTATTGGCGTCAATAAGTAAGTATCTACATAATAGGGTAGTTTCCTAAATTTTATTTTATTGTCCGTCTGGTACATTAATTTAAAACTCGTATTTTTTCATTTCTCATAAAATTTAATACTTTATATTAATTTGAAATATTGTATGATGTCACAGCGTGCCACATTTTTTGCACGTTATGACTTAACGACCTCCGACTCCTAAACTTAGCGCGATTTTATCTTAACTATTACTTATATTTAACTTAATATGAGAAAATAAAAAAATACGTGTCTAATATTTTGTCATTACCTAACTGATGGACTAATTAGATTTTTAATTTCGATACCCTGGATACTACCCTATAACTTAACCAAAGTTTACATAAGATAAAGGTACAGTACATCACAGTCAAAGTTTAACGAATATCTTGTTCATTAAACTGAGATAAGCAACTGTTGTATGATTAAACAGCAACTTCGTAACGTTGTGAGGTGCCAAATTAGTTGGCGGCTTTCCCAAACTTGGCCTGGACAATACCAAGTTTACCTACAGCTACCAATTATTCTGAACTATTATCCTCAAGTTTGGTGATATCTCAGTTTGTTGTGCATCGTTTAAGCTTCAGTTTTGTGCGTTGAAAGGGAGGAGAGTTGTGCATGCATTTGTGTGAGTCCCATATAATAGGGGGTGAGCTCAATGCCGCAGAGTCTAGGGCAATAAGCTCACCCCCCAGCTTAGACGAATTCTAGATATAGACAATACTTTGCCGCACCCACATCCGTCCAGATTCCGAGTTATTATTGAGAAGTTCTTAGAAATCCAAAAACACTTAATAATTCTTTAACCAGCTGAAGAAACGAACCTAAAACCGCGTACTTAACAGTCACTCTACAAACGAGATGGTTTATAAGAGCAAATGTTTAAAACCAATATTTATTTTTAATGTTGCCCCACACTAAGATTTTCTCCTGTGTCGTGGGTGCGTTTACAAACATATAAGTTCACATACACATGACACCCAGATCCGGAACAACAATTTGTGAATCACAGAAAGAGTTCCTCTGTGCAGGAGTTGAGCCCGCTACACGATCCACCGCGCCGACCGTGCAGTCATACCAGACCCGAGCGTACAGCGCGCGCCCTAAGGAGCCATCAGACCACCACAGATGGGGCCCAATAGGGCTTACCAGGGCTCCGGCTCGAAGTGTAGGAGTAGGAACAGTGTGGTTTTTAGTCAGTAAGAATCTGAGACTTCCTCTCGCCTCACCCAGGCGGGAGGAGTCATTTGATGATTTTCTCCCATTAATATGTAGTATAAGACCATTTTATACAATTTTATTACTTCTCCATAAGTTAGGCCATCGACCAACGACTAACAAGACAGTTTATAGAATCAAAAGTTTTAATAAAATCTCCTTTATCACCTTTCCATTACTTGTCAAACATTTGCCTTCCAACTTCCACACACCTCACGTAATTAAACACATCAAATCCATTCACCACGGATCATTGGGACCCCCGTAACTAATGTTTCCTAATAGCTCATTAATTAGATCATAACTTAGATTTAGTAGGCTAACGTATTCGCCTATTAAGCCCCATAAACTGCCCCCTACGAGCCTCTAAACTCACTTTGAGAATTATTGTCTTTGATATTATGAATTTGTGTTTCGCAAACACTATGTATGGGTATTTTGGGAGTATAGATTGTAGTATAGTTTGGAGGAGCTTCAAGTGAATTCATTCGTTGTTTGAATCTTATTAATTTAATAGGAATACAACTTAGGTTAATTTATTTATTTTTTCTTTTAAATTTTAATGTTGTGTCCAAAATTGACTGCACGGTCGGCGCGGTGATTGGGCAACTGGCTGCCGTGCAACGTGTCGCGATTTCGATTCTCGCACGGAACAACTCTTTGTGTGATCCACATGATTGTTGTTTCGGGTCTGGATGTCATGTGTATGCGAACTTGTATGTTTGTAAATGCACCCAGGACACAGGATACCATCCTAATGTAGGGCAACGTTTTATACAAAAAAATAAAAATAAATATTTATTATATCAATATTGCTGTGAGAATTTATTATTCAAACGCATTTGTGGTTGGCTTCTCATGCTATCTGATTTTCAAACTTCTCAATAAGCACCAGAAACTAATCACGGGATGGTACCAATTGTGCCAGGATGTTTATCATCAAAAACGTAACTGATTACTGGTCCAAATCCAAAATTCTGATTTATAATTCACCAAATAACCCATGGAATAAAGGCATGGTTATGTTCCATAAATACTTAAAACGACATACAGTCACTAGACGCTTTCAATATTTTATGCGCTGCAGTAAACCACGCATCACGAGAAACGTACGATTGTGGACTTTATGGCTAACGGAATAGCGTTGTTGATGATCATAGTGCTGACGTTTCCTTAACTTATTTATCCTTGACCCATATCAACTGCGCTATAACTCATATACATGTATTTTTTACGTATGTGTTTTTGTTACATAAAACTTTTCATCATTTTAGTTATTCATCTTACATCACTATAAGTGTATAAATACCATACACCTATATATAATTTTCTGTGTGAATCTGTGAATACAATAATTGTTTTTCTGGGTGAATGACAATGCAACCTATACTACATTATGCAGCCATTAAGTCTTTTACCTTTTTCGCTAAACATACAGAAAACATTTTTTTGACCATGAATAAACTATCCTACACTCTTCCTTTAAGACATCTCTAAGGGACGTCCACATCTGGCGAATCAGTCACAGCAATGGTTTGGTGCTCAACTCATACAAGGTTCGTATAATTAATAATTTTAAATGCACGCACGCAGCTTGCGCTTGGTTCCCGTTTAGCTGGCCAGCTGCCCACTCGCGGAGCATTTGCCAGATGTGGACGCACCTTTATATTGAAGCAAAACAAAGCGATTTCTGATAAACTTGAACTTATGGTACTGCGACTGCTAACTCTCCTGTTAAGCAACTGTAGTAATTGTGTTAAACTCTTCAATACTCAGTCTAGTAGTGGACTATTCCTGGCTGTTAATATTGATATTGACAATAACAAAAACGAGTAATATGTAAATTAAATAAAACAGAAGGTCACTCACCTTGACTCTCATTAAAAAACCCAAGCACCATAATCACAATGACAATGATACCGATCTTGAGTCGGTAGCTGAAGTTCATAGTATGCATGTCGATCCTCCAATTCTTCGTCAGCATGACTCAACCGCGCCTCATCCATTCGTTGTAACGTTTCGTGACGTCACTGTACTCTTGTTCTTTGGTGCTTGAATGCATCATCTGGAACAATTGAAATGGCAAATTAGAACTGAAGACAGATAAATACATTTACTTGGATCCTTCCCTAATTTTCAAATTCACTATTCTCCAAAACGACAACGCACGGCACCAATTGCTCATGATCAAATGATCCATCTGTATTGATCTATAGGTTAAGTGATTCCGATTAGGCAAATGAAAAAAAAAATTAGACACCGAATTTTTTTTTCATAATTTTGCGTTCACTATCCTGTATACCTTTTTTATGATAACAGAAGGAAACCGTCAATAGCTGCTAAGGGGCTTTTTTGGGAGAAAAAAATATAGAATGTGGTATTCCTAACTCACTAAAACCATCCCGGTGGCCATCATAATCACCTATAGGGCGCACCGAGTCCACTGCGAGATCTGCTGCGGAGACCCTACGGTGTAATCGCTGTTACAGCACGTCCGACTAGATACGGTATAAAAAATGTTGTAGCCTTATTAATTTTCCTGGCCTGAGCCTGAGAATTGGGCTTGGCAGTCACGTCAACAATGTACATACATCGATGAGGCAGTCCTTCTTATATAAGTTCTATTTATATTCTTTTACTGCACTGTTGGTGCGGTGGCTGGGCAACCGGCTGCCATGCAACGTGTCACAATACTTTGTGTCCACTTTGTTTCGGGTCTGCGTGTCATTGTGTGAACTTGTATGTTTGTAAACGCAACGGTTTTTTATTTAATTTTTAAAATTTTTCTTCAGTGTATTACACTAAAAGGAGAACTAAGTATTAACTCTTCAGATAAAATAATAAATGTCTCATTTATATTTCTTGCTTTCATTCAGTCTCATTCCTAACTCAGATTGCAGGTAAGTTTCATTTTTAATTACGTTTAAAAACTTTTACTACTAGGTACTTTTTTTTAATTCGTCAGCGTATAACTTTTTCTTTTCTAGCTCATAGTTTAATGAGAAAAAGTTTATGTTTCGTCTATTCGTTTACTCTTCTTTAAATAATTGTTAGTTTTATCGAGAACTAGCTGTGCCCGCGACTTTGTCCGCGTGGAATAATGATCACAGCTCCTCTTGCGTAGATAATAGTGTGATATTACGTAGTCTATATGTTGAATCGACCTGTTAGTAATATTCATGCAAAATTTGTAGTAAATCCATAGAGTACTTATTGACTATAGCCCGGATATACATACAGACAAACAGACCAAAATTCTAAAAACCATATTTTTGCCTTCGATATCGATTGTAGATCAATCACGCTTGAACCATTCAAAAAAAATAAATTAATGTACAATTTTCACTTTCCTACAATTTTATTATATGTATAGAAGATAGATTCATTGGTTTACGTAGCTTACTTATATAGCTGTTGGACGTAGTCAGATTCGTTGACTAGGCTACATCACGATTGCTGCAATCATGGACGTAACGTAGCTTGATTTTAATCGAGTGCGCGACACTCGCCGTGATTGTGGGGCTCGTTGCGTAGCTTGCAATTATTTCAGTTAAAATCTTCAAACACGTGAGAAAGCCATCTAACCAATATTAGGATAATGTCTTACGATAGTAATAATAGAATAACATAACTGCCTCGTTGGGTAAGTGGTCTCGGTTTCGATTCCCGGGTCGGGCAAAGTATTACTGGGTTTTTTTAAGAAAAATCTCAATAGTAACACGGAGTCTGGAATTGTGCTCGGTATAATGGCAATAGGTTAACCCCCTGTTACATGGGACTCTTAAAATAAATTGTAAAAAGTGGGTGTTACATAGTACAGTGGCTTTAAGTGCTATGTTGTGCGCCTCTGCCTACCCACTAGGGGATAAAAAGCGTGATGTTAATAGGAAAATAAAGAGAATTAAAAGATACAATGAAATAAATCAAATAAAAATGGATATATTTATTAATGCTAATTCTGAATATAGACTTCAGAAATTGTACACTTGTACAGTTTAGACCTTTGCCTAGAAATACTTGTGATGATTTGACCACTTACGAAGTCTGAAAATTAAGTTTTTTAAAATTTTATTACTTCAAGAATGTCCAAAAACAATTACGTGAATGAAACATTGAAAGCCTAGCAGTAAACTTCAGTAGTTATCAAAGAGAATGTTGTACGTCTTCGAACTAAATATTTACTGAAAAGATTTTAAAACAAAGGTGTTGGGTTTAGTACTGAACTAGTTTATTCTATAAAATTTCGTGTTAAAATATTTGATAAATATTTAAGTTTCTATATGCCTAAATTCATCATCATCATCATCATCATCAACAGCCTATAAATGCCCACTGCTGAGCAAAGCCTCTTCTCACACGGAGAAGGTTAGAGCGTTAATCCCCACGCTTGCTCAATGCGGGTTGGCGATTTCAAACTTATAATTAGAAATTATAAGTCCAGGTTTCCTCACGATGTTTTTCCTTCACCGTTTGTCAGTGGTGTCTAAATAATCTTAGAAAGTACATAGAACTCGGAAAAAGTCCCATTGGTACTTGCCGTTGGTAGGTTTCGAACCCGCACCCTCATGCATGAGAAGTGGGCGTCTTAAACCTACGGGCCACCACGACATACTGCCTAAATTCAAATCCCAACAACGTTGCGTATAGCAAAATTTGGCATTTTGGCAAAAAAAAAAACATTATTGGGATTAAAATTTTGGCAGTTTGAAAACAATTGACAAGCCATGAAATCCAAGACCTTACGTTAATACCTACTATTCGAACAAAATCCATAATTATCGAGCTAAAACATGAAAAATAAAACAAAGCAGGAATATTTAAGTTATGAACTCATATTCAAAGCATGGATTACTATAAGTAGCAGGCAAACTCCCACAATCTCTATACATTTAATATCATGCAAGCTCAGAACTAATTATGAACTTTAGACTTTAAACGCGGTCAGAGTTTCAAAGCAATTTTACGCATAAGATAGTCAAAGATGGGAGAAACAGTTGGAAAAGTTAAGGGAATACACATTATCCATTTCCTGGAAGGTACAGGAGAATGTTTCAAAGACGCTAATTTGACCATTATTGCCAACTAATAAGGGATAAAGTTCTAAGAATTTTCTCATCAACAAGACGACGCCTATTAGACATCTATTAGAACGATTGTTGTCGTTCTAATAGAATCTTGTTGATAGAGATGGAGTTTCATGCTTGGTCTTCTCCATTCAAATCTACATTTTGGAATGAGCACCTAGCTTCACCTAGCTTCACTGACAGACTGACAGACTATTATTTATTTTGTATTTGTTGACGTTTCAAAAGCACCTAATTATGGTTTAATTGAAATAAATCCTTTGACTTTGATTTTGAAAAAAAAAAGAATATTGTTGATAAGAAAATTCTTAGCACTTCGATCTTCAAAGACAAAACTATTAACCAAAGATGTACTTTCGCAGAATCAGATTACAGTTACTGTCTTACACACATAATCTTCAAAAAGAAGTACCTAACTATTATTTGTAGTAAGTAAAAACTACTCCCGTTTTTCGCGCTGCTCGTCGTAGAATATTTTTGTTTATCACAAATTAGTCTGCATACCAATTTTTAGCTTTCTACTTAGAAAATTGCGAAATACGGTATATACAAACTTCTATCGCTATTTTACGGAAATTGGGGGTTTGCAAGAAGTATAAAAAGTAGCCTTGGTCACTATTCATCCTTTCAACTATTTCCACTTAAAATGATTATTTTATTTTATTTATTTGAAAAGGCTTCACGCACACTCTAATGTCCAAGGTGGGCTTTATGCCATGGGCATTCTCCTCCAGCCAGACCTTTGGGTGGTGCAGAGACCAAAAACAATGGTCGATGCAGTTATGTCATCTCATCGCTCCGTTTTACCGTGAAAGACAAACAAGTAAACAGCACACACACATTCACCAATTTCTAATATTAGTATGGATGTAAGGTACACCCTAAAGATAAGTTTCATCAATAACCTAATATCTTATAGAAAGTTCTCGCATAATTCAATCTTCACATCAAATTCCTGACACCGACCCATCAAAATCGCGTGCCCTTTACAAAATATTATCCGAACAACATTAAGCCGTTACAGCCTCGCCATCTAATCTGGAAACTCTTCAATTAGTAAGTTCACTGCTCTTAGAGTGCTCTCAACTTTCTTTCAACCATTAAAACAGTCTTTAAGAATCGCCACAGTACAAGTTTTAATGTCTTTCGCGGATTCTCTTTGTGTTGGTCGGTTGGGTGGCCAAACAAAAAATTGGTCAAGTGCTTACCTCTGAATATTTTACTTCTTCCGCGTCTAAGTAACGTCTATTTTATTTTAAAGTGGGGAGTTGTTGAGTGTTTGTGTATTTCAATGGGTCTTTCGAGGCGATTTTGTTTGGAGTGTTTATTACTTTGAGTTTGAGTGGTCTCGATGTATTTTCCTCTATTTGGTCATTTTTCGTTGGATTTGTTTGTATAATTCATTGAGGGTGGGATTTGTTTGTGTTCGTGATTGATGTTTGTTATTGTCACGTCTTTGCTAAAAATACTTATCTGTGGAGTGTAAATTATTTACTACTTATCCAGACCTAAGAAAGAATGGACAATTTTTATTATCCTTATTAATTTAGGGTCTTTTAGTTACACAAAGTTCACATCACCTACATGAACGAAAACAAATTGGAAAATCGAAATTAGAAAAAAAAATGTTTTCGGCTTACTCACGTAACTGTTTCATGAGAAACTCGACTAGTTTCAAGCCATGCTAGAGGCTCGTATTAATGTTAATAGAAACATTAAAAAAATAAGTTTAAGAATCATCATAGCCTAAACATTAGGGAGATCAAGCACTATAAAAGATCACAATCGGTGTGAACCCGAAGATACACAACGAAATATGGCAGATAAAGTTATTGATTCGTTACATCACCGCAGTGAGAAACAATGTTCCAATCAGACGCTTACGGAACCCTAACGAGGTTAGATGGCGCGGACATCCAGTGGAAGCGATGGTAATTCCCAATGGGAATTCTGTTTTATGTACTATTCTTAGGG